CACAAAAAACCCTTTTCATGACTCAGTTGCACTTTCTTGTATTCAGACCCCTGTTTAATACACAAAGCATGCTTTCTTCCTTCTGTGCTGCTGCCTTCTGCCAGCTTTCCAGCAGTTGGTTGTGCAGCGCATACACGTTACTTAACCTTAGTAATTACTTTGTATTAACAGCCCTCCTTTTTTTCCCCCCTTCTCTACAGAAAACAGGCAATATCAAATTATCATCATCTAATGGCACAAAACTTGAAGTCCCTACATCATTCTCGGAAACTCTCTCAGTCTTTCAGGAGACGCATGAAGAGGCTCCACCAAGCAATAGGCACTCGGACTGAGATGGCTTTACGTAGTTTTAGCAACTTGTGATCGTGTGAAGGGTTAACTCAGTATGCGATTCAGAGGGTTGCGTTTTCAATGTCTTCTATGTTTGGATTTAACTAACTAGACTTTATTAACTGTGTATCATTCCTTTCAAATCATGACAAAGCATCTCAGATTTTTCCTTTTTTGGTTTCTCTGTCCAAGCAGGCAGAGATTATATTCATTATCTTAATACAGGGCAGCCCATTATATGATCCTTCCACAATGGAAAAGCAATTTGAACTTGACCTCTGTGTTTCAAAACAGGGGAGGCGTGGGGTCCCATCAGTATCCTCCAAAGCACAGCTTTGCTTCTATGAGGCCTCAGCAAGACTATAACGCTGTTTTCATGAAGATACCTGCCTCCTATTAGAGGATGTTGTGGATGAATGTTTCCACAGAGCTTTGGGCATAGAAACACCATTGGTGCTTAAGTCTTATTTTCAAAAGTGACTTGGGTCACTGCTACCATAGGTCCTTTTGAAAACATTGACTGACTTCAGTTTCCCTCGTTAGAAACAACTAAGAACTATGGGATTCTGTTTGAGTTACTCCAGATTGACCCTGGATCAACCAAGACTCACTATGGCCCCCTCTTTTCATCTCAACTAGTTTGACTCTGAACTCCATACTGGTTCTAACGCTCGATTTCTTGCATGCTGCTACTACAACAACTTGGATCCTAACAGCTGACAAATACTGCTCTTGCAAATTGGGAGTGCTTGTGACTCCTGCACGCAACTGAAGGCAATTTAAGTTGGTTTTGAAAGCTCAAGTAACACTAAGTCCTATTTAATTAGCAGGTAGTTTAAACAGATCTAATATTTTACCCCTTTTTTTTAAACTAACAAGTTATTTTGACAACCATCGTATATGAGAAGCTGTATAAGCTAGGCAAGCTAAGCTTAGCAAAATTAACATTTTCTAACATTTTAACGAAGTGAAGGAAACTTCCATATTCTACAATTCAGTATCAGTGCTGCTGCTTCAGACAGCATCTTTTCCTCCCGGTATTCTCTGGGAGAAGGAGATAAACACAGTGGTGCTTATTACTTCTAAAAAAATAACATGTGTTACTATTGTTAAATTGCAAGCTAAGTATGAATCCTGTTTCCATTTTTTGAATAATTTCAAGACACAATATTTTAGTGAAAATGAAGCAGCCCATAGTCTAGCATCAAAATCCGAATGTGCAAGTGCTCACATGTACAAATCCTTTTCTTGCCCGTTGCCAAACCACATTTCGTGAAGACATTACTGTTTGGAAAAGGGTGAGTGCATTTTGAACACCAGGTTCCAGCTCCCGTTCAAATACGGATAAAACTGGGACGACCCTTTCAGCATTTTACAGGCCCACGGAAAGCTTTTATAGAAAAAAAAGGCTGGAAGTAATAGAGCACCTGTGCGGAATTGAGTAACTGTCACTTGTATGTATTGATATATTAAAAAGAAACAACCCTTGTCAAGGTTTTCAGAAGTTGTGTCTTGTTGCAAAAGTTTTTGAAGCACCTATCTCTTGCCCCTTGCAAAAATCCTCACCCTTCAACTTCCACTCATCTTTCAGTTGGGCGTTAGGTGTTTATCCGTGTGCTTTCATTTCTACACTGCTTCAGATGAAGTGCTAGGTCTCTGGCAGGTACCGAGTCCAACATGCTAGTGTTCACCATTACCGTACAATGGCACGACGGCCGTTGCAAGCAGGTTGCTACGCTTGATGGCTTTCATGGGACAGCCAGGTGATGGGGCAGCGTACCCACACTGCTATAAAGAAAAGTCCATGAGTCTAGTCACTTAAAGGCAAAGAAGGTTTTTATTTGAGTGACTAACTTTTTATAAGATTTTAAAAACCAGATCACATCAAAATCTAGACCAGTTGTAAAAATCTTACTCCTGTAGTTCATGTTTTAAGAAATTCATTATTATACATTTTTAAATCTTTACAAGGCAGCCATAAGAAATATAAACATTTTGTCACCATATATAACCTTCCCACTGACAAACAATATTTAAAAGTATACACTTATTAAAACTGTAGACTTAAAGACCATGTACAATTTCAAGTCTCCTCACAGGAATTGTTATAAGTAGACTTTTTTCCCCACATAAATAGAAAAATAAGTATGCATTAGGGTTGGGGTTCTGCCATGGGACTGCCATTCCTGACCCTCCTATCCTACTGAAAAGCAACTATCGTCCCGTTCTTTAAAGCTTGTGATTTGTCTTACCTGTCTCAACTTGCTTCACAACTCCTTGTAGTGTTGCATTGTAATGTACTTATGTTTGTCCCTCCCCAAGGTTTTTCTATTTTTAAGGAAGATGAGGTTTAATTGTCAAATTGTTCCACCTGTTCCCAAAAGCACGTCTGGTTTTTAAAAGCATGTGGTAGTTTTTTAAACAAAATTAGGGGCTGCATCATCATCCCCTGCTGTAGACCTTACCCCTAAAGGGGAGTGCCAGCTCCAATTGTTTCAACCCCAAAATCCCTTTCTTTGTTCAAAGCAGAAGCTCTTGCTGCTCTGCGCAGCATCCACACACCCTCGCTCCCGAGAAGTGACTACTGTGCACTCGTACTATTCCCCTTCCAAAACAGGTGCAATCTTAATTCACCTTTAAAGCTTGGGTTTTACGTCTGGTCAGCAGCTTGAATTGAAATCTTGAACCCGTTTCAGTTTTAGTTCGTACCTCTTAGATCCCCATCTTCATCGTTCTCACTCAAGCTAAGAGCACACCTTTTTGCTTGTTTGCAGTACAGCTATAACCTGCCCCTTAACTTGCAAGGAGGGACTGCTGGGGATCAAGCTATGCTTTCCATGCTGGCTGAGATGAGAAAAGCAAGCAGCCAAAGAGAAGCTCTTGATACCTGTGTATTAAGGGGATCTAACCCTGTACCAGGCTGAAGAGAAACAGTGATCCCAACTTTGTCACCACCTCGCCCCCCCCAAAAAGGGGGGGGGGGGAATCAATACAAATACTATGATTTCAGTGTTCATTTTAATTATCTGCAGTAGAAAAAAAATCTAGAGGATGACTTGACCCCTCCATTTGAAACTATAACCTCAGATACTGAGTGATTCATCTTACTAAAGCAGATAAGAGACATTTAAAGCACAAAAAAATGCTGATTGTTTACTGCTTACCTTCCTGTGCTGTGGAAATCTTGTTCTTTAACACATTTTACTCAAAGGCTTTGAAGCGCTTCTACAGACCCTAGTTTTGTAAGAAAAGAAGCCCACAAATCTAAATTGTGGCCAAATTTAAGACAGGTGGCCCTTTGAGAAGCCAATGGAACATACAATTTTTGTTCTTCCTTTTGCTTTAAAAAAAAATCACAATGCAAGCTTCATGCTAGTGGTAGATATTTAGCTACTTTGGGTTTTTTCACTTTTCACTTGGTTGGAACATTTTTTACAAGGTAGAAGCAGCTTGCTTTTCTGAATAGCCACAGGCAAGGAACACCTTTGATGTTATCTGAGCCTTTCAAGAATGAGGTGCCTCTAAGATGAGCGCAGACGTCTTGGCCAATACTGCTTCGCAGAATCAACTGCTTAAGCTTAGGGTTTTGTTTTGCTTAATTTATTGCTTGTTCTCATCTCCCTTGCAATTTGGAAATTTTTCCACTTTTTCCATATGGCCTTTCCCTGTCTGAACTTTCCTGTTTGAAAAGGCTGCGATGTGAGATAAGTAGCAGGCAAACATGCCGTTCGTAATCGCTAATGCTCTTGTTCCCACCTCAACAGATCACAATGGCAGTTGACTCATGAACCCCAGGGAGCGAGAAGAACAGTGAATGCTGTGCAGTTCTCACACCTAACAAAATAGTATGCTGGATAGATATAAAACATGCCACAGAATTAAACGAGAATACTTTGGTCAAGCAAGATTTTGTTCGAAGAGCACTAGTATAGGCAAACATATTTTTTGAACATTTCTTATTGAAATAATAAGCAAATTTGGATTTACATTACTACTCATGTCTGGAATATTTTGCACTCTTTTACAATGCTACCTTTTTCAAACTTATCTAACAGGACAACAAAACTGAACAAACAGCAATTGTAAAAAACGCGGATTGGTTACAAATTTGCTGTGAAAGCTGTACCAAAACGTCACATAGGGTGGCTATGAATTCAGTAAACACACGCACACAACACACACCACAGTTGCGAAGGTGTCTTTTCACAATATTTCAGGTAACAGTCCACCACTGCTATTAAATCACTGCCATTTTTTTTTTTTTTTTTACAGTAATAAAAAAATGGATCCCACATCAACAGGGCAGAGAAATAAGTGCTCCCAGTCTCAGTGTTACTTGTGCATGGATCTTTAACTCCTCCTCAGAGTATTCATTTAGCATTTTACATTTCCAATGACTCCCCCTCAATTTAGCAAGCTCAAAGATTGATTTTCCATGCTGATCAGTCTGGAGGGACGAAACAGCTGAAATTCAGGGAGGCCAGTGTGCATACTTGAACCCCCAAAACTTCCCTTGGTGTTCACTAAATCTTCAAGCCCTCTGAATTCTGAATCCAGGCCAGTCTGGGTGTCCAAACAATGCAGAGATGACGACTTACCATAACTTGATGCAAACAAGAAAATAACCAAACCCAACTGCAACAGACTTTTTAAAACACTGATCCCCCATGCTGAAAGCCTAAGCAAAATTCATTGGAGGCTTAAAGCAAATTCTAAAATTCCAGTTGACTTGTCTACATCTCTGGACCATGGCAAGGAAGATATTGTAGATAAAGTATCTTGCCAAATATTGACCTCTAAACAATTTCTTTAACAGTTAGCAAGGATTGAAGATTATACTGTTGAATTAATGGTCAGGCCTGGCCAGTGTCCGAAAAAAATAGCTAACGATGTTGGCAAGAGTTTTAATACAGTATCTGGGTTCCCAAATTTCTCCTGCCATAAGATAGCTGTTTGTAGCCCTGGCTGGTTGCGAGATATTCAGACCCAAAAGTCTTATTCTGTTTACATTCTTCATACTACCAGCCTGATTGAACTTCTGAGGCTATTTTAGAGGCAATTAGCCAAAGTTTAAAAAAAAAAAAAAGTCATCTGAAATTCAGGAACAACCAGGTTCTGACTGTTATGAAGCACTGACCTTTAACTGGACCGCTGTGAGATGGTTTGCAAAGATGAAAGAGCAGTGATCCAAAGGTAAACCTTTCAATCCCTGAGCAATAAGTAGTGTTGGAATTATGCAAAGGCCACATGAGTGCTAGCATCTCTCATGAAACCAAGTGAAGGGAGTTATTCTCAGCTTAATTTTAATACTGTTTATAGCAATATTAGAAAGTTAATATTCTAATCACATACACAAACTAGCACTTATTTCACTGCTTTATATTATAACACTGTTAAGTTGGCATGACAGTGGCTGTAAGGAGACCCAGGTGCTAAGGAAAAATTTGGGTTAAAAATACAGAGCTTTTGTGGTTACCAGTGAAAGCAGGGGACTAGACTCAATGACCTAAGAAGGTCCTTTCCAGTCCTGTGTTGAAACCCCCTTCCCTTAAGGATGAATGCAGTTCCGATTAGGTCCCTTTCTGGAAGTGGGTTTTCCCTACTGAAATATGTATACGGGAGAATACACTTGGAAAACCCGTGGCTGGTAGAGGTAGACATTTAGCTAAAGCAACAATAGCTCTAAATTGCACAGCAGGCACAATAATTACCAGCAGTATACAGGCTGTACCACAGACAACTGCTTAAAAATGTAATTTCAAAGTAAGCAATCAGTGTCACCTTTAGATCTTCCCAAGAGATTTCAAATTTGCCTATTAAGTCCCTCCTTGTTAAATATTATGCTCATTTACCTGTTAAACTTGGCAAATAGAAGCAAGCTGGAAAACACTGTGTCCTATGGAGTCTATAAAACAGAAGACCTAAAACCAGCCGTGAGCCCATCGCAGCAACAGACGAATAAAATTGTTGCAAGACCAGTAAACCAGGAATTGGCTAAATGTTTCAAGCCATTACTGGCCAGAGCTTTAGATTACTGTAGTAAAGTCCCACTTTTTACTCTGTGCACTCAGGGCATTTCTGTTGGTACCAGTTAGAACAGAGGTATCTGATAGACAAGAAGCATGGAATTAGCATCAAACGTGCATCTTTGTTACTTACTTTTCTTTTTCCTAGAGCAGCGGCAGAGCGCAGCAAATTCATCAATAGGATCAATCAGCCGTGGCTCCACTAAGGTGTGCAGAACCGGGCACGCTACACTAGCAGCAAATTTAGCACAGGGGATTGGATTTTGCTTTACCTTCTACTCTGCACAGTTTCAACCTGGTCGCAGAGAATGGAAAATCAGATGAGGGAAGGAAGGTGCAGACCGATCAAAGGAACGCACATGGGGCAAAGACAACACAGAGTAACCATTTAAAGTGCTGTGTGTTAGTAGACCTGTTAACACTCATTAAAAGAGACATTTGTAAACTAAAAACCACATTGAGCATAGTTCCTGCAGATAGTACATTTGGCTTTTGGAGCCAAATGACTTGGAGCCAAAGATGTTAGGCAAAGGGCGCAAATAACACACTCCCCGTAATCAAAGTGTTTGGCTGTAATTAGCACAAGCTTGCAAAACAATGAGTTTCTTCATTTGATTTGTGTAATTTCTGTTAACTATAGTAGGGATTACTACTGATCTTTGCCTGAGCATGGATTTTGAAATCGAATTACGTTTTATGTATTTGATTTTTTTGTTTTAAGGAAGTGTACAGCTATCAAGTTGGGTGGCATTCCAAATCGGTGGTAAACTTAACCATTTCTGCCTGCCAAATAGTAAGATGAAGGAAATAACCTATGCTGTTCTACCTGTAGAGGTGACTTCCTGCCTTCTAAGACCAGAAACACCTGTCTAAGCCTGCAAAACTGCATTTTTGGTGTCTGGGAAATATAAATTTCCTCTGCAGGCTCACGGTAGCTTCCTTTCGCATTCTCTGTCCATACCCTACACTTACCAATCAAGCTCTTTTGAGCTTGTTTCTGGTTTGGCTCCAAGACAAAGACCATTTCAGAACAAGCACGAAAAACGCCCTGCATTGCCTGTGCCCTCTCCCAGCCTCATAAACCTGTTTTGAATCCTCTGTTTTTCCTGAGCAGTTACAACTTTGGTACAGGTATGGAAACATGCTTAAATTTGAGCCCAATCCTGAAAAATCTCTAATTGAGTGAGGAGGCCCCCACTGAACTTGGAGTCGTCAGCAGGTCTCGTCAGAGAGAATTTGTAGATTCTGGATTTTTGCATCTCTCCAATATACATCTGTGAAACATTCACAAGTCAGGCAAGTTGTGCCAATTACCTCCAATAGATCCTTTTAGGGGAGCTGAGAAAGTCTAAATGGATTTTGCAGATCACTGGATGACAGCTACTTCTAATGGGTGCCTACAGTTTCATAGCATCTCATTTTTTTAAACCGAAATGCTGGTAGGCATTTTAAACCCTGCAGTCTATCTAATATAATAGTTGCTTTAAAGAGGAGTGAACAGGAAAAAAAGTTGCTGAATTACATAGGTAATTGAATCTCTTCTTTTTCTGTCCGCTGTAAGAGTCTGGAAAAAAATTCACTTAAAAATCAGATTGCCTTAGTTCTCGAGCCCCTCTACAATAGAGGTTTCTTTAGCTTACCTCCTTAAGATCCACATGTCATACTGAAATGGTCAAACTCACCTCCTTGCTTTGAAGCAGCTCACACATATTGGTACAGTCACCAAGTTCCACGAAAACAGTTGTGATCTTTGTACACTTTGCACATCGCTTTTTATATAGCAACGTTAACTGGGCTTCAAACTGCAGCAGTGAGGGAACCGATTTCTACCATGAAGCACTGATGATTTAGTTCACAAGTGGATTTCTCCAGCGTTTTGTTTTTACACCTAGCTACCTCACTCCAAAGGTGTGTAGATCAGAGACGGGGTTAGTGCATGTTCACCAGCATAGTCAACCAAAAGAAATCTTGGGTTTAAGGCACCCAAAGAGTTTTGCTGTGCAAATCCCAATTACCCATTATTCTGCTTCACTTCTTCTGTTTGTATTCCTTTTTCTCCAAAGTAAAGCAGAAGTACCGACACCCATTTGTGTTTTAAAATGTAAACCTCTCTTTGACTTAGGTGACTTATTATGCTCATTTAGGTGCAACTAATTAATTGGTATTATAGTCCTTTAAGTATCTTCCATTCGGTGAAACCAACCTGTGGCAACTGTCCCCTTATTGCACATTTTATAACGTACCTTGTAACAACTTCCCATTCCCCCCAGCCCCCAAACAAACCAAAACCAAGATGTATGTTTTTGTTATTTTGATGTCGTGAGCACTTGCGATCTTTCAGATCTGGTTTCTTGATAAGTACGGTGAGAGGAACAGGTGGAAAGTTCCCAGCTTGGTTAAAGGAGGCAGATACAAGAACAGGGATGGCTCTGGGGTACCAGGTCTTCCCCCTACCTCTTATGTTGAAGCTGCCTAAGTACTATCTTCAAGGCATGCCTACAGGGTTACAGGAGCGTGCCCAAGAAATATGCCTCAAAGCTTCCTATGGCACAGACTCAAATTTATGGACTCCGCCTCGAACCCACGCTATGGGAGGAAGATGCCGATCATGGTCCTTGTCCGATTCGGGCTGGCTCTGGGCACGCTCTGGTTTGGGGTTGGATGAAGGTGGGTCGGGTTGCTGTACAGACATAGTCCTGCGTAGGTGATTCCTTTTGCGCAGAAATTCAGGCTGGGAGTGCAGGCCAAAGCTGCCTTTCCTCAGGATCATCCGGGAGTTGTTCTTCTTAGGCCGGGAATGGAGAGTGAATTCCAGCAAGGCTAAGTGGGCTGCGTAACCTTCACTGAGGAACTAAAAAAAAAAAAGAGAGGAGTTGAGAAGATAGTGTGCATTACTGATAATGAACCAGGCTCCAAACTCGGAGACAGGTTCTCAGCAAATACCTTGGCACTAGGAAAGCATTTGGCCCATTGTGGCTGTCATATTGGCTGAAGCATGGACATTGCTAACTGGCTAATCAGAGCCACCTCCTTTCTGGAACAGATGGCTGCAGGGTAACTACTTGCAAAGTCAATGGTGCAGAAAGCCAACCTGCACCCTGTGGCGAAGGGAACAAAACATCCTTCCCAGCACTATCACTATGGTAATTAGAGGCTGATCCTGCTCTTGTTGCATTCAGCAGAATCTGACCTTTTGTGCCAAAGCATCAGAATGGGCCCAAGAGGTGACAATGCTCCTGAGGTTCAGCAGCAGAGGAGCAAGACTGCAATCAAATAAAGCTCTGGAGAGATGAAATGAAGAGCCGGGACCTCTATTAGTAAAACCACAATCCTGATCAAAAGGCATGACTTCTTGCCTTTGAACCACTTTGGCTGGAAGACCATTGTATTTAAGACAAGACTCTTGTATTTTTACTCCCCGTTCACAGTTTCAATGTTGTCATTCAGCAGTATACCGTATATACCCCAGTGGTTGAGAAATCTGTATTCTTGGGTGCCTTTCACCCTCCCTGTGTATCCAATCTCTATCACTTCTCCTGGAGGGGACATGTAGGAGTTAGAAGTTCTGTATGGGACACCCTGCTTAGGTCCAGACAACGTGTCTGCGGTGCCACAAACGGCATATTCAGCTGTTCTTCATGCTGCAAAATAGCAGCGAGGGGGTGGGGGAGAGAGGAGGGTGTGGAGATTCTGGGATCAAAAAAACCCATGCGAAAAAAGCAGAGTGGTGCACGCAGGGGCAGCATGTGCCACCCAAAACCAGCTGGCCAAGGCTACACTCCGGCTGCTGGTCAGGCTTCACGCAGCAGGATCGCCACTGCTGCAGCCCCAGGAGGCCCCCAGGACCCAAGTAAAGCTGCTGGGGACAGCCCTGTGCTGGCCCCAGCCTCCCCTACCTCACCCAGGGTAACCTGCTGTGTGCTGGAGGGCACACAGCAAAGGCATTCCCTGGGGACAACTACCGGCGGCACAAGGTGCGTCACTGCTTCTTGTCCCTGGGGAAACAAAATGTACACGTGTATGTGGACATGGCCCTTCAGGATCTCTCTTTCCTTGGTGTGGTATGTCATGCCCCAAAGGATACACCAAATTTGAAGGAGGAGTTACTTACTTGACACTGAGTCTGGTATTTCTTTGCTGGACGCCCAACTATGTAGATCTGCGAAGGCGACAGACCCAAAACGTTGTACACAGAAATGTCCTTCATCGAGCCATAGGCAGCACAAATTTTGATGTGGCACTAAAACAAGGCAGACATTTTCATGGCAAATTCCCAAATATCAGACTCCAAGAATCTTGCAGAAGACATTGTCTTAGTTATGGAGCAGCAGACAAGATGCTGTTACTGACATAAATCTGTATTTCTTAGAAAGATGCATCTACCTGCCTGTCGGTAAAACTAAGCGATATACCATAAAAAAAGCAAGAAAACAATAGTCTAAAACAATAGAAACAGTCAAGTGGAATCAGGACTGAAGATCAGTGGGCATTGGGTACCTAACTTCCAATGTTTTTGAGCATCCCCCTCCTTTATTATTAAAAGCTGTATGAAAGTTATTTTAAAATGATGTCTTCAGGAAAAAAGGCCCAATGAGACAGAAAAGTTTGGAAAGTTTAATTTTTCAGGTGAGCAGAACACTAGGGCTGTGCGAAGCTTCGGTTCCTGATTCAAAAAATCGGCAGAGATTCGGCCCAGTTTGGTGGCCAAATCTCTGAATCCAAATCAAATCAAAGGACCTTTTAATCTCTCTGAATCAAATTGGAGCCCTCCAAATCGATTAAGAGAGATTCGGAGATTCAGACATAGAGGCAGCTTTAAATGTTTTGAGCTGTAAATGTACATACCTCTAGGTAGCAGGTGGATCGTGAGTGCTGCAATGCTGGGGCGCATGGAGTGTCCTACAGAAGTGTGGTGGGGGCTCCGCAGCATGCTCAACAGCAGACGCAGAAGTGGACCAGAAGTACTTCCAGTCCACTTCCGGGTCTGCTGGGGAGCATGCTGTGGGCCCCCCCATGTCCTCTCCACTTAGCAACTGGTGCCTCCTGGGTCTGGGGGGGCATCTGGGGTCCCCCTGTGATCAACTGCTAAGCCAGGGGGGCATGGGCCTCCCCCCCGTCCACTCCCCAGAGGACCCAGAAGTGGACCAGAAGTACTGCCCCAGCATCGCAGCGTCCATAAGCCGAGCTGGTACCCCTATGTATGTAGAAAAAACATTTAAAGCTGTGTCTATGGCCGAATCGCTGATTCTCTGAGTCAGCATCGAATCTTCAGATTTGGATTCGGCCAAATCGAATTGGGGACAGCGATCTGAATCAACGACTCGAATCACTGTCTCCAATTCAGGCTGAATTTGAATCCGAATTAAATATGGCCGGCTTCGCACACCCCTACAGAAAACCCAACAGCTCCCACCAACTTTGGCAGGAGTGCAAAACAGGCCATAATTTCTACTGAAAACCAATCCAATTTTGTACTGAAAACCAATGCTCAATCTCCTAAAGGCAACACAATCCCAGTTTTTACCCATCTGTGCTGCTTACTGAGTCCCCATCATCATTTCCTATAGCACCTACAGACCCTTGGAGATCTCCATTCTTACTTCTTGTGACATTTGATAGGGTAACAGCAGAGGAAATGGTTTTGAGGGTGTGAATGAAGAAGCCTCCACTTTCATTTTATAAATGGGAATGTGTTAGTTGCCAGTAGAAAAGGTTACCAGGCTCAGGGCACTTAATTACCAGCTACAGCAGAAGTCGATGCCTGGCAAGCTCTTCCTTTCATCACCTCATCAGCATGCCTCAGCCATGAAAGAAGAGACCAGAATTCAAGGGAGGGTGTATCAGTAATAAAATGTGTTCAGGATTTATTTCCTCACTACTCACATTTAATACAGTTAACAAATGGAAGGCTGCAGGTATTAATACAGTGTAGTCACTGGCTTCTCTTAAATTAGGACAGTAAGGCATCTGCTCTAAACATATTTGATCTTGCACTATTCAAAGGCAATGTCTTTATTTATATCTGTCATTAAAATGGGCTTGGGTAATAATGTTGATTCAAGACTTTCAGAAGCTTCTTGCAATCTGTGAACAGTGAAAGAAACCAAGACACAGTAAAATACTGTTAACAGACTAGGATGTTTCCCCTCCAAGACAGCAAGACCCGTGTCACCTTTGTGATAATCAAGATATTGACTACATTTTTCTGGAAATTGAACTTCTAGCCACTTACCATACAGCTTTAAGGATATGAACAACAGGGGGGTTTATTACCTCTTGCATAAGATTCCGGAGGAAGATGGTCTTTTGTCGTAATGGGTCATGAACTAGCCCGTCTGAGAAGAAGATCATGCCTTGAGGGAAGTTGTGCTGAGACAGCCATGAGACAACTCTCTGCTTTTGCATATCTGGCCGGCCCGTGATATAGATGATCAGGTACCCCAAATCCTGCCAGTGTCTGTCCAAACAAAACAAAACAAAACAAAACAAAAAAAAAGTGTTGTGCATGCGTGGGGGGTGAAAATACCCACGATGAGCACTTTCCACACTGATTATGGAGACAATTCAGAAGAGTGGGGCACAATCACTTAACAAGGAGAACAGAATCTGGGATGCCAACCTAGTGGTTAACCGTCTGCAATCATGTACTAATTTCTTTTCCTTGAGGGAATCCAAGAATAGTGCCAAGCAGTCTTATATATTTTGATATTTCATATGTTTCATCCTTAGCATTCTCTTCTCCTTTCCAATCCTATCCACTTCAACAGCAGCAGATTAATTTAATGGGGAATGATGGTATCCTTCTCTTCCCTTGAGTGTGCAAGAGGCACTCAGTCTGAAATAATAGACACCACCTTTGCTGTTCAGTCTGACATTAAATGTATAGGTTGTTTTTTTGTTTTGTTTTGTTTTTTTGTTTTGTTTTTTTTTTACACTCATGGTACTTCACAAAGACACACCAATGCCCTGTATTTAGGCATTATGGAAGTAAGATTCTCCTAAAAGTCTCTACCCTTTTTGCCTGCTATAGCAGTAAACAGGAAAAGAACTATTCACTCCATACACTTCCAAGCCATCTTCCCCAGAAGCAGTCTTTGCATTTTTGGTGCAAATTAGAGTGAAATCTGTGAAGCTAGCCAAAGCGCCACAACATTTCCATGCAAATTGTGTCGAATTGCATGTGCATCTGAGCAACAGAAAAATGCATCTGCTGGAATCATGCCCATTTGTTCGTAAATTAATGTCATCAATCTATTTCACCCTCTTCCAGCTTGATCCATTTTTGTCCAAAGTCGATGAATCAGGGATTCAACAAAAGTAACATGCGTGTGCTGCTCACCTGACAACATCAACTGCCCCAGCTCTGACTTTGGGGTCGCTGCCCATGATTGAGACGCTTGCTGCAAATGAGCCATCAATGCTGAACACAACACACTCCATCCCCCGAGGAAGGACAGTCAGGTAACTCACTGCATTACTTTGGTCACCCCTAGAAATAAAAAAACAAAACAAAAACACAAAACAAAGCAAACCATCAGAGCTCTGGGTGTTGCAATGAAAAACAAGATGATGTTCAACTGGATGTGAATCTGTGTATCTAGGTATTAAGGGTGCCACCAGTCAAATGGGACTTACCTATTCTGGAAAACAAATTAAAGATCCCCCAGCCCTTTTTTTTTTTTTTAGCAGACAAGTTTGTAAGCACAATTTTGTGAAGTGTGCTGTGCTAAAACAATGAGGTTTACGGCTTCTCTCTCCTAGCACTGCCCCCTCCCTCTTTTCTCTCCCCACACCCTGTCTTTTGTATTCTCTCCTCCTTATGCTGTTTTCTGTTCGTCCTTTCACAGTATCTGAGGAAGTGAACTTTGGTTTATGAAAGTTTATGCTCTATATGCCTTATACAGGTGCATCTCTACTCTGCCTTCTGGTTGGCATAAATACTGTTAAAGGATTATTTAAAAAAAAACCAGACAACAACACAACTGTCTGTCCATGTAGGCTTTGTCCTTTTTTTGCAACTATAACTTAAAAATTAAGTGGTCGCAATATATTGGATATCCAACAGTTATACCTTGCAGCAGCATTTGCTGACATGAAGCCAAATGTACTGGAACAGCTGAGAATTGCCCATCCCTGTGCCCTTGTGTCTTGTGCTCACCCAGAAGAGCAATGCTAACGCTATTGCCTTATAGGGCTTTCTGCAGCTGAAAATGTCTCATGGTGTATGCAGGAACGCAGATCTTAGACCATTAGAGACCTTTACCTTCCCCTTCCCTAAGGCTGCCATAGGAGCCTTACTGCCATCCCCCTGTGGGAAAGTTATGTCTAGTGTAAGTACAATAACTTTGCAGATGGCTTTCTCCTTGGAAACTTGTCCACATTATGCGTCAGGTCCATCTGTGACCCATTTATGGGCACAAACGAGGCAATTACTATTTCCATTGTAGGCTGAAGGATATCTAAATCTGTAGACCATGGAGCTTAGCTCCTGAATAGATCTTAATTTATTTTTAAGTAATCCCATCTTCTCATGTTGATTGATTGCCTGCTAGAGTACCATGGAGTTATATTTTCCCCTTAATTAGTAATATGTGGAGCTGGAACTTGACCTTGTGTTTGATTAGCTGCTGAGACAGGTTTTATTCCTTTTCAGTTCAATTCATCATGCCGACTTTACTTTCGAGCAGAGGTTTAATAGAATCTCCAAGGGGCTCCCCAAGTGAGCATGAAGTTTAACTCTACACTGGAATATTAAATTAAAACTTTATGTCAAAACATTTAGCCGCTTTCTTATTTGAGCATAAAAACAATTAAAAGCACAGCCATCCTCTCGCTCTGTTTAGACAGATGATTTTTATTTCACACATTTTTCTTCTTTATGCCTGACTTAACGGAGGGCTTTTCATGCAACTCTTAAGGGCCAGGAGAGTCTATTGATTTCACTTCAATGAACTGTTGCTTTAAAGTGCTGTGTTTTTCAATTTGAAATAAGCATGGCACTGAGTAGAGAATTAAAGTGATTCCTTCAATCAGCCTGACATCAATAGATGAACTGAACTGCTGGCTTAGAGCAAGGCAAACCCTCAACTGTTCATTTTATCAGGAAAGGTTTGTCATCAGCCTGAAGTATGTAGATCACTCCCTTCACCCCAGTGATACAAAACCGGCGGGGTCTCTGCAGTATCCGAGCCACATGTCCTTGCTAGGGCCTTAAGAGAGATCAGAAAAGCTTGTGTCGCTCAGCCCCCTTCTGATCCTGTTTGTAATCCTGATGCATTTTACAGGGCTAAGCACTAGTTTATTTAATCCCACTGAAGAGTTGTTTTACTACAGTGCCTATGGGTCAATACTGGTGCCTGTTGGGCCGGATGCTGTATAAAAGGGAGCGAGACAGGACACAAACATTTTGCACGTTAATTGGTGAGCTAGACAAAGGATGGGGAAAAGGCACAACTTGCTCGAGGTTGCTCAGGGAGCCTGGTGCACAGCTCGGGACTGATCCTACATCTCCCAGCTCCCATTCTGTCCATCTTAGATACGTATGTGAGCCTCATCACAGCAGTAACAGAGTACCTCCCAGCATCTCTCAGACCATCTTGCAGCCAAGCAGGGGAGACACAGACTAAGTCATTTGGCCAAAGTCACAGAGGAAGTGTTAGCCACAAAACCATTCTCTCTCTTTCTCTACAGTATCTGCCATCTACAACGTAATTTCATACAACATGGATAAGATTCAGTAAGTGTAGGAGGCAGCTTCTCCTGCTACTGAAGACCGTGGTACAAAGTAACACCTTCATTAGATGGATATTTGTCTACCTAGATGTTAGTCTATTAATTCTAAACCAACTCTGCCTTGGTCTAGCAGGCACGTTAAACAGAAGATGCAGAGCAAGATTCTTCAGTTTACAAGATCATCTCACTTGTATCTATTCGACAGTACAATTTGAATCTGAAGCTAAATCTTGTGTGTCCCTTATTACTGCATATCAATTGCAGCAACGGGCCAGGACCCCACTGCACTAATCACTGTATGAACGTAGCACAAAAAGGCTTACGGTCTCAATAACCTCTCTCCTGTACATCCTCACTTCAAGCAAGGGGTGGCTGACAATGCTGTTCACAACTCCCTAACACAAACAGTCCTGGTCATCGCTCCACCTTCAACCCCACTCTCCAAGCAAGTTTGCTTAGCACTGTGGATAAGTCACAACGGCTGCCTATACACATGCTAGCTGACATATTAGTTGGGACATCCCAGCATCGCTGCAGCGTCACACGTATTAAGCCCTCGCACTTTTTTAAATGGCTGGGGGGTACTTTATCTAAACCTTGTTGAATGAGGCTTAATACACACGACGGCAAGGCATTTTAATTAGAGTGGCTGCCCAGAAACCACTCTAAGTAAAACACCCCCACCTCCAAGCATGCGTATAGGCAGCCAATGTCTTTGCTCAGTTGTAAAACAGCACAGGTGCTAAAAGGCAGTTGGTGTTTTATTGCATAAAACTCATTTTGTAGCAGAGAAACCCAATATTCAGATTTAAAACAAATTTACCTAACCACCATTTTGATGGGATACACGCCAACTCTAAGCCTCTTCTGTTTGGGTACGTTGTAGGATATTCTGCCACTGCTGTTGGTTATCTCGGTGTCGAAATACACCCAACTCCCCGAAGTGGGCTCAGTCATAATAAAGATATCGACCTGTAAAAAGACATGGAATCTATTCAATTTGCCAGTATAAATGCATGCCATATTCATAGGTACTGCCAGCCTGGATCAAACTAGTGGTCTGCTTGGTCTGGTATCCAACTATAGCTAATACTAAACAATTCAAGGAAAAGGTGAAGTAGGAAGGTACGATAATCTAGTTACAGTACTAGCAAAGCTTCCCTCTACACCCTGATAAGCATGAGGATGGATTACTTCCCAAAGCATGAAGGTGCATTATATTTGTTGGTCTAAATTCCTGAGCTCAGGTCCGGAAAGGGCTGGTAATGTAAAAGTGAGGCTGTAGCCACGATGGTCCAGAAATTATGCCGTGGATTCTCCATTGTAAGTGGGCTGAGCACTCTGCACTAGAGCTGTGAGAATAACTGATTTTACAATTCACTGGGGAGGAAAGGGGAGAAACCCATCAGACAAACGTTAGGTTTTGAATCCACCCAAAACATTTTCTTCAAACTTCTTGCCCAACTGAGACGCTGCAAAACTACAGATGGCTTTTACCAAATCTCAATTAACTTTCAAAACAAAGCAAATTTTAAAAAACCCACTGAAACAGAACTTTTTCTGAATTTTTTTTTTTTTTTTTTGAAACAGGAACAATTCACCAACATTTAAAAAAACTGTGAAATTTATGGGTTGCCCTGAATTTATATTTTTGTTGGAAAAATGTGTGGCTGATAATTTTTGCCTACCTATATTGTGGATTCAGAACAACACTCAGGCATGTGGCTGCTCCTGTAAGAGTCCATAGGACTTATTCTCACATTTAAATGTTAAGCCTTTGCTTCTGTATTATGCCATCTTGGGGCCAGTCTGCTTTGCAACTTGCAGGATCTAGCCCCTAACTTGGGATGTCTTTGTTTATATATACCCAGGACTCTTGACCTTCAACGTTACCTTGAAAACCTCAAGGAGTTTTGAACATATTTAAATATCAAAATCCTTCAAAAAGCCAGGATCCAGAACTGTTCTAGCTGAGAGGTGTCCAGAACTAGAGGTGCTAAGTGCAAGAGGGAGAAACAAACGGAGTGCAATCCTGAATCGTTACAAGAGAAGTGTTATCAAAATCCATCAGTGCGTTTAGCTTTTCAACCACAACCCCTTTGCTTGGGCAAAGTAACAACTCAAACATAGATGTTCATCAGATATTTTTCAGACTTTTTAGGTCTTCACTGATGTCACAAAAGGAAAATTTCATGTTTATACCCTAACTCAGGGGTGGGCAGTTATTTTGGGCAGAGGGCCACTTACTGAATTTTGGCAAGCCATTGAGGGCTGCATGACAGGCAGCCAGGGGCAGATACATATTCATTTGCTAAATTTTTTAGAGGACCTGTGGGCCGGATAGAATGGCCTGGCAGGCCGTATCCAGCCTGCCAGCTGCATTTTGCCCACCCCTGCCCTAACTGGACCCTGTATTTCTGTCTTTCAAGTACACCATTAGCACAAGGGAGGTGGAGACATCTTAAAATGTTGCTAACAATAATATGAGAGAATCTCACGCTTCTGTGCAGACGAATCTTCAAAGGGTAAGTGGGTCTAGCCAGAAGTGAACAAGATTTCTTCCATGACCCATGCTTTGAACTTGGTTTTATTCACTCATTCACTTCCTTCTTTTATACATTTTCTCAGTTCAAGGTAGGACCTTGGATGGCATTAAAGTAAATATCCGAGACAAAATTTTAGTTTGCGTCTGGAACTCTGAAACAAGTCTTCTAAATCAGGGACTTGCATGGTAATGATGTAAATGCTCCTGAACCCTGTTTCTTATGCTTTTAGTCATTGAAGCAGTCTGCCCCATTTTTGCCCACATAAAACGGGGAGAATGATACATGTCCTTCTTTGTAAAGTGCTTGGAGACTCTCGAGTGCAAGATACCATGTACCAGGTGATTTTTTTTGTTTTGTTATTACATGACTTGCTTTCCCCCGAATCAAAATGCTATTTACTATCCTTGCAGCAGGGGTAATTTGAAACTCAAAACAACACCTACAAGGCACCCTGCATGACAGTAAGGATCTTAACATTTCTTTTTAAACAATTAATCCCAGCAGTTCCTTAGGATATTTCCAATGTACAGGAGTTTGTGCATCACATTAGATAAGGAATCCCTTTCCCCATGGCTGAAATGCAGCCCTCTCTGGAACAGAAACGTGACAGGCAAAAAACTCTCACAATTAGCAGAGGGAAAACATTATCAGAGGATAGGGCCCTACGGTCCTTCAAGCCTGTGCATCCAAATCAGGGAAGTAATAATGTGGGCTAGTTCCTTAGCTGGCAGAGAGCAGCAAAGCCCCAAAGTCAACGGAGCCTGCAGATGTACACCAGCAAGAACCTGGCCCAGTTATTTACACGGCGCAACCCGGGCCTTTGCTATTAAGGTTTTCATTTAAAAGCTGCAAGATAGACTTGTATATATGGAAATTTTTCAAATAGGACATGTACAGCACCTAGCACAGTGGGGTTCCTGCCTCAACTGGGGCCTGTAGGCACAGTTATAATCATCATAATAAGAGAGAAAGAGGCTTGGGAATTGCAGACTTCTCCCTGAATGCAGAATTGAAGATTTTTAATGCAAAGCAAATACATCCTTTGACATTGTATTGTTCACTCCTACCCAGATAGATTTAATTGACATTTTGAACCCAACTTGTGAAGAATAGCTTGAATAGAAAGTAATCAAGTCCTGGAGCTTTATAACTTAAGTGTTGCTCATACTACCAGCACTGACCCCCTTTCAGTTCCCTATTCATCACTGTACTAGAAGAATCTTATTAAATATATACGTGATCAGAATAAAGAGCAGTTGGCAACAAAAAAATAAAAATCTAATAATGGGACCACGATAAGAACTTGCAATAAAGTTCAAGCAAATTTGTGATCTTATCCCATGTGTTATCTCAAGTAATGGGGCTGCTTTAGGAATCTTAGGACCCAAGAGAGACAAGATTCAAACAGTGATGATCTCACCAAAAGCGTAACCTTTACTCCACTTTGGCCGTTCAATTTATAGAGACACAGGGCACGCCGAAGTCTGCAACCAGATCTCAAGAGCAGCATATTCTTATGAATAATATAGACATAACAGTGCAATTGTATATAGATATAACAATTGTATAACAATGCATTTTGTGAATAAGAAATTCAGCAGCATAAGCTCTGTTGTGTTTGGAGAAATACAGAAGGGGGAGTGAATTTGCCCTTTGTTAGTGTATGGATGTGCTGCTGGCAAGATAAAGTTGCAGACTTCGCTGTGCCTGGGGTCAACATAAATTTAAATGTCAATTCGCCCCAATGTATACAGGGCAAATTTACTCCCTCACCCATACCTGCTGGAGTTTCATCATTCGTAGAATGAATTTACTCCATGCCCAAGTCCCTGAACTGCAGGCTCTTCATGGCTGGGTCTGAAAAGCCAACACGTTTGTGTTGTTGCACTTAAGGTCTCTGCAGGAGACTTTAGTTCAGCTACAAAAGACCCTGTGAGCTAGCTTACTACTGTGTGAAAGGCTGCAGCACAACAAAGTTTCCAAAACACAGTCTTGAAAATTGAATGTTTCCTTCCACCCACCATCTTCGCTTTTGCAAGTGTACCTCCATGTCTGCCAACCAATGGACATTGTAGCATTTGAGCAGGTTTTTGCTACTGGACCTAAGCAAGTATTGCAATTAAATGACCCATTTTAAGTTACTTTAATAAATTCATACGATGTTTGCTACAGATGAGGGGCCTCCTCTTATCTAGAGGATCAGTCCAGCAGTAATGGTGGATATTAAAGTATCCTTCCATTTTCTTCACAACGTTCCTCAGTTCTGAGAGGAACAAACTACAAATCTCCATTACAACCATAGTCCTTTTGGATGTGCTTGGGGATTCCAGGAGGTTAGATCGAAATCATTACAAGGAAAAAGTGAATCGTTTTTTGCCCATGGGATAAAAATCTGGCCTCCCAGGAAAATCAGTAGAGCTACTAAAGAGAAGAAAGCATACACAGTAGTGAACTCAAACAGCCCTAGTGCATGTCAGCTCAGCCTGACACACTAGCTGTGATGGCCAAGGTACTATACAAATCTGGGATGGCCAGACTATTGAGCAAATGTATCTTTAAGCTCAGTGGCTCTTGGTATTTTCCATACCAGAAACTGCCATCCTATTTAGCACGCACAGACCAACGTGCTAGTGACCCACAGGGCAAGAACCCCACTATGTAGCCGGCTTCCTAATTGAAGGCATATTTGATGAAGGCAATCAGAAATCGTAGGTGTTGCACAGGGATTCAAACCAGGGGATCATGGAGGTGCATTAGGTAAAGTAAAGACGACATCTGTAAAATATTTGAGGAAACCAAGAGAAGGAGCCTGGCTTGCCTGGTAGCTGAGGTGTCTTAAACAGCAATGAGAACACAAATCAGGCTTATGTTATGTAAGCCAGTTATTAAGGGGGATCATTTAAGTGCAGCTAGATTCCAAAGCAGGCTGCCCAAGGTGAGAGTGCAAGCAGAAAACCATTCAGAAAACCTATTAATTTATTTCCAGCCAACAATTACATTCAATTCAGCTGCACTGTGGCCGGGCTATCAGGGCTGGGGCTGGGAATGCTATCTGTTGCTTCTAAATAATCCTGCTGCCGACACTTTTCCCCATGGCAAAGAAATACTATTTATGTCACCGCATATTATACATGGAAGGCTCATCGCTCATTTAAGAAAACAATTGCAGATTGTTCCTTCAGGGCTTTTTTTCCATGATATTAAGCTGCACACATGTCTACAGGGAATAGCTTTTTCTTTGTACAACCTGTTGCTACAACGGTAGCTTTGTCAGAAATTGCAATTATATTGTTACAGGCATTTCTTACCGAGTAAGACCGCATGAATCGTGAAACCGAAATATGAAAGAGCCACTGTACTTTTCAGCGACTCAACTAACATGTAAAAAATCCAGCCATTACAACTCACAAGGAAGGTAGCCCTGCATTATATAATTATACAAACCAATACAGCGGTGTTTTTCAGCTGTGGATCTGAAGCATTTACAGAGGTATCTGGGGAAGCATAATTTTACAGATGGAGAAATGGGGACAGAAAAGTAAATAGTCTTACTTTTACTCCAAACTCAAATGGCAAAGCTGTGTCTAAAACCCTGCCTCCCAACACCCATTATTGCATCCTCACTGCTACATCCCTCATGACCTTTATTTCATGACTACCTGTAAGGCTACATATATAAATTGAATGCTTTTGTCCAAAAACTTCATGGCCCTGCCAATGCAAACTAAAGGAGAAACTACATTAGGTTGCTCTCTTAAGACGCTGTCTCGTCTGTTGGCCAGTCGCTAGAGGGCATCATGTGCATGAAACACATGCTGCATCGAGCCTAACATTTTATGTCAAATGTGCATCTCATTACTGCTGTGGTGCTAAATTCATCTTCAGGCTTTCGAGCTTAAAAGATGCTGTAACCCCCCTAACCACCCAAAACCCTCTTCCTTTATCTAGTTGTTGAACCCAGGGGATCCGCATTTTTCTTCCATGGTTTGCCCATGCTACAAAATTCACTTTCTTTCTTCTTGCTTAGTAGGTTAATTCTGTCCCGAGTAGGTGGTGCAAGAGCAATCACTTCAGGCTGTGCCCAGTGTTAACCAGATGCAATGTCTGGGAGAAAACAAGATAAATGGAGGGTGGTAAAGGTCAGATATCAGAGAAGTCCAATGACAGCACGTTCGCTAGAAGGGCTGAGGGGTAGCCTAAAAATGTACCGATCCCCATCACTGTGGACCTATCCATGGTACTGTGTATAGCAAAACGTGTGCTGAACTCACCTAACCTTTCCATCAACATTCACTCGGAGAAAGTGATGAATAAAACACAAGTTTTACCTTTTCGCCTGTTAAAGCCACCATATCCAGGGGTCCATACATAAAGCGTCCAACCAGGACCTGGGGACCGTCTTCTGCTGCAATGACATCATTTGCTCTGTGATTAGCGGTTACATTCTGAAATGAGAACAAGTGGTTTGCGACTCCCCGTTTCTTACTTCTGTGGTTGAATAAGATGCGCTTCACAGTAGCAAAATGATTGTGTGGTTGGTATTAAATTATTAAGATCAGGGATCATACGGATGCACAGGAAGTGGTTGCAAACACTCTGGAACACTGATTAGATAGACAAGTCAATGGGCAGCAACTGGTATACCATTGACCCCATTATACCATGGGGAAATGCAGCACAAAGATCGTGAATGGGATTTGCAG